AAAAAAAAAAAAACAGTAACTCTGACCCCGGCAGCCACTAATCTGCTTTTGGTTCCTATGGATTTGGCTGTAGTGGATATTGCATATAGATGGGGTCATGCAATATGTGACCTTTGGTGTCTGGCTTCTTGTAAAATATTTTCAAGGTGCAGCTACATCCTATCAGTGCTTCATTTCTTTTTATGGCCAAATAATATTCCCTTGTATGTGTAGACCACCACGTTTTATTTACCCATTCATCTACTGATGTATAATTTTTATAACTTTTTCTTTTTGAGATGGAGCTTCACTCTTGTTGCCCAGTCTAGAGTGCAATGGTGTGATCTCGCATCACCGCAACCTCTGCCTCCTGAGTTCAAGTGATTCTCCTGCCTCAGCCTCCCGAGTAGCTGGGATTACAGACTTGTGCCACCACACCCGGCTAATTTTTTGTATTTTTGGTAGAGATGTGGTTTCACCATATTGGCCAGGCTGGTCTCAAACTCCTGACCTTGTGATCTGCCTGCCTTGGCCTCCCAAAGTGCTGGGATTACAGGCGTGAGCCACCGTGCCCAGCCGCTGGGCTAATTTATTTTATTTTATTTATTTATTTTGAGATGGAGTTTCGCTCTTGTTGCCCAGGCTGGAGTGCAATCGTGCAATCTTGACTCACTGCAACCTCCACCTACCAAAGTGCTGGGTTTACAGGCATGAGTCACCGCACCTGGCCAATTTTTGTGTTTTTAGTAGAGACAGGGTTTCACCATGTTGGCTAGGCTGGTCTTGAACTCCTGACTTCAGGTGATCCACCTACCTCAGCCTCCCAAAGTGCTAAAATTACAGGCATGAGCCACCATGCCCGGCCAATTTTTATAATTTTTTCTTAGGCCTAGTCAACTGAAGCAGCAGGAGTGGAGAAGGAAACAAAAAATGTATAACTGATTCTGATCAATTAATTGTAAACACTGCTGCACTCCAACCAGCCCACTGATGTACATTTCACATATTTCTACCTTTAGGTCAGACCTCCATTCTTCCTGATGAAATAATGAAGACACTATCTTCCTGAGAGTTGATACTGTACCCACAGGCTGTGGAAAGGACATCACAAACGCAGGCAGAGGGCCTGCCATAGGTATTTACCAAGGGCAATTCATGGGCTTAGGGAAGAAAAGATATTGCTATCAGTTGAGGGCCAGGGCTTTATGGCTGCGATGTCTGGGAACCCTCCCTCTGATACCCCAGACACTGAGAGCCTGCTCAGCAAAGAGAAAATACGCTGCAGGGAGGAGGGACCTTCTAGCCAGGACTCCGTGGCCCGGCTCTCCTCTCCAGTCACAATGGGACAGGCTCCCCAGCCTCAGGGGAGCTGAGTGGCTGCTGAGCTGAGCCCTGAGCTGGGCCCAGAGACGACCTCCTGACCTCACCAGCCCCAGGGCATCAGTGTCTAGATCCTTGTGAGCATCCTAGGATGGCCTGGGGGAGAAAGGGGAACCCCTATTGAATTGTCTGGGGCCTGCGGTTGCACCCCTCACCCTTGATTTCATCTAAACTGTGCCTGTATCTGGGAGGTTTTCTGGAGACTAGTGGGGACAATGGGGGATCAATGCAGCCGCGCTGGAGTGGGACTTCCCTAACCTACCCACCACCCATATCTGGGAGGACCTCTGGGAAACCAGTGAGGTCTCAGGCAGAAAGCAGCCAGTTCTTGGCACAAGAGTGCCTAGAAATGTAAAGACGGATACATTCGTTATTTCAACAAACCTGCATTGAATCTGAAAGGCCTGGGAATAAAACTCAGGAAAGAGCAAATGCATCCTCAAAGCACTCTAGGGTCCAGCGGTTTTCCAGTTGGACTTTGCGATGGCTCAACTTCCTTCCTCTCTCCCCTCCTCCCGACCCTGCCCTTTCCTACCCTATCCAGCTGCAGAGAGGTCCTAGCCATGTGTGTCCCAGCTGCTGTCCACGCCCATCCCTGGCACCTTCGCTGAGGGAAGAAACTCAGGCACATACAGGCTGCCGCCCACTCAGACTTTATTCAAAGACCAGGGGGTACGGGTGCAGGAAGGGGAGGAGGGCCTGGCGGGAGGCCCAAGGGGCAAGAAGCATGGCCACCGAGGCTCCAGCTTAACGGTATTTGGAGGTCAGCACGGTGCTCACAGAAGCCAGGAACTTGTCCAGGGAGGCGTGCACCGCAGGGGTGAACTCGGCGGGGAGGTGAGCGGCCAGAGTCACCAGCAGGCAGTGGCTCAGGAGCTGTGCAGAGAAG